TCAATATTCATACATTACTACACGAAAAATGGAGTAAGATGATTATATAAATATATAAAGAATAATGAAAATTACATGTTTTCTTTTGTGTTCATATTAAGCAAGTGGAGGGATTAAATTTGCGAATAATCATATCCCAGTTTTTGTAATTAATTTCCTATGACCATTAAATTCCTAAATGTTTTAATTCTGAAAATAACATTGTTAAAACAACATGGAAACATCTTTAAAGATAATTTACATACTTATCATATAAAATAATAATTAATGAGTTATATCATAATCAAATAATTAGGAGAATTAAATTAAATCATAGTTAAAAAAAATCTCTATATTTATATATATTATGTGAAATGACCTAAAAATTTAAATTATTTTTTTGTCTATAATTGTTTAGAAAAGTGTTAATAAATTAAATATCATCGATAATATTCATTGAAGTATATATATTTTGGAATTTAGAAATAGGAAATAAATTGTAATTTCTTGTCACATTCAACGATAATATGTTATGTACAGAAATATATGTATATATATAGTAATAAGGTAATTCTTAATGTATAAGGATATATCGATAAGAATTTAACTAGTTAGAACAATTAGAATTGTGACTATTATTAAAAATAACTATTTTTTTTAATTATAAAAGGGATAATATTGTGAAAATAAATAAGTTACATAATTATGTTTTTTTAACTTATTTCAACATTTATTCAATTTACTATATAAATGATAAACATGAGAATATAATTTTTAAATGGATGATTAAATTTAATTTTCATTGTGGGATTTACAATAAAAGACACATTTGGGGAAAAACAATATACATAAAAGAATTAAAAGAATTTCAATACTTAAAATGAAATATCAGGAAATATATAAAAGAAACCAATATATATAATATATTTGAACAATAATATTATTATATAGAAGAACAAATATTTTATAGAATGTATATCTTATATAATTTGTTTAAAGGTAGGTATATTAATAAAAATATATATGTGATTTTTTAATTTAGACACTTGATGTTTATATTTTCTGTACTCCATATTATATATATTTTTTGACCTATTATTTTTGCTATATGATATATCATATTTAATTTTTAGCTCATTACTCTTTTAGATGTTATCGATATTCATAATTATATATGTGTTTACAAAAATTTTAAGATTCCGTAATTTTCATAAAATAGAAAAGAACAAATTTTTATATTTATATTTGTTCTTTTTAAATAAATATAAATAATTTTTTTAAGGTTATAGTTATCTATATAGAATCATATATGTAATAATGCTTTGAGATATATTTAGTTTCACTAAATATATATAATTATAAATATTTGCGAAAAAAAATTTTAAAAAGAATTATATATATTGATAATTGAAAACACTCCATATTATCATGATTTTACTTGTATTTCATATAGTTCTTTTATCTAATTTCGTTAAATATTTTTTTATAATACTATATTATATAAGCTATCATACATATATATGAATAAGATTATGTAACTCAAGAGCTTCAATATATGCATATATAATTATAAAAAATTTTAAGGCAATTATATGAAATAATATTTACATGGAATAATAATGTATATATAATATAAAGTCATTAATATGTATTTTTTATTAAATCATATGGTAAACGTTATGTATTTGAAATGTTTTTTTTGGAATATGTGATATGTTATATGAAACTAACAATGTATAAAACATTAATTTGTTTGAATTTAAATATATAGATGTCCATTTCGTCATATTATGAAAAAGGTTAAATTTGTATTTATATCTATTATTCATCTTAGGAATAAATGAAATAAATATTTTTCTAAAAAATTTATTAGAATGTGTAAACAAAGTATAAATTTCTAAGCGACTGTCTTTTTTAATTTTTCAGTGTAATATATATGGTTATTATTATTTTATTAAAAACTTGAATAACTAAATTTGCGTATTGAGAAAATATAATTTTATGTGGTATAAAACACAAATAATAAAATGATTGAATGAAAATATGCAAGTAAATTACTTCATAATAATACACGACGAGGAATATAAATAAATTCATTAGAATATAAAATATATTTTTTCTTACATTTTCTGTAGTTTTTTTATTTTTTTTTATATTATTAGATATTATAGATTATAAAACACTATAATTATGATAATTATATATATATGAGACATAACACTATGTTTTAAATACAATTGATATGTAAGTGCCAATTATAGTACTTATATATTCTGATGTTATCTTTTATTAAAACTTAAATTAATTTATTTTATATATTAATTTACATTGCAAAATAAATTTATATTTAACATTATATATTATTAAATTATTATATCATACACTATATCATATTTAGATTAAGTTATTGGGAATATATATAATTAATATGATTCATCTTATATTAACTTTTGATATGGAATAAATTAATCCTAATGTACTGAATTTTACTTGTTATATAATCATATATTTTTTACATTATTTATACACTAATATAATTTACTACATTATGTAGGAGATAAATTCTTCAAGCATAGGCATGTTATTAAATTATATTAGTATTACCGTGTTTTTTTTATTTAGAGTATTAGTAAAATTATATAAATATAATATAGGATGGTTCACTGTACATTATAACAGCAGGTAATATATTTTTTTTAGGAATAAAGCATATCAATATTTAATTTCTTACTTAATGTAATATGCTACAATTCAAGAATAACTAATAATACTTTTTAACTTTATAGATATATTTATAAATCAGCCTACTGTAATATTTAGACAAATTATGATGATATAAAATAGATGAGATAAATGATTCTTGACACTATTTATTATTACATTTTAATATACATAAATTTATTATATAAAGCTTATATATTTTACTTGTTAAATAAATGCAACCATATAATCTTATTTTTGTTGGAGAAGTTATTTGTACCTTTTGTTAATAGTTATATAAATAAAAAATTATTTTATTATAATATAATATAAGTAAGGTATAAATACTTTTTAAACTGTGTATTATTCATGTAAAAATATTTTATTTAAAAACTTAAAGTATAAAAATGTGCCTTTTTTTCCTAAATGTAAACAGATTATACATAAAATTGAATCAGGAGTTGCTTCAGATGAATGCCGAATAACTTTTATTATGATTTTTCTAT